TAATTGCATACAAAAAAAAAAGGAGTTGAAAATAGCAGTTAGTAGAATCCCAGGAAGGGCCCCACCTCTGGGCACTTGTCCTCGTTCCTCCATCTATAAATACTCCCCCTTCTCCCTGCTTCTGTCTCCCCCCTCCTCTCTGCATCTCATTATATTCCTTCTCTCCCCATCATCTTCCATCGGTAAGCTTCTCCTCCTTTCATCTTCTTGTATTCATATTCTCTTCATCATCTTCCATATTCGTTCCCTCATTTTGCATTCCCTTGATTTTGTTTACCATAATTAGCTCATTTCTCTTTCGTTAGATTCTGTTGGTTTCTTGAATCTGTCGGTGTGGAATGTGTTCTCTGCAATTTCAGTTCACAGTTTCATCCACCGCCGCCCATTCTTTATCATTTTGATTGAAATTCCCTCTCTCTCACGTCTCTCATTATTGATTCTAACCGCCACCTTTTCCTTCTTTTTCTTTGTTTCCTCTTTATTAAATTTATATATATTATTCGGTGGTAGTTATTTTATTCCATTTTCGTTCCCCATTCGCTTTGATATTCGCGGCAAATTAATAGTTCCTGCACCGGTATCCACAAAAGCGGTTGGAATTCGTTTTTTGTTTTCCTTTTCCTCCCACTTCCCTAAACGACCCGCCCTCTCCCACCGTTTCTCAACGCGCTCCTCCTCCCGCGTGCTTCGCTTCCCTCCAATTTTCACCAGGGGGGCAGCCCCCGCTGCTCGGAGGTTAGTGTCACGCGCTGTTATGTTTTGGCCGATGAATCCTGTCACTCTCGGGTGCGTGTCTTTCTCCGGTTAAGCAGGTTTTTTTCCCCTATTTTTTTTTTAAAAATTTTTTTTACCCTTGGGCGTCAATGGTTATGCAGATTCTCCAAGTGTCAAGCTTGTGGGCCGCACACGTTTCAAACGTGGGCCCACGGTTTGACTGGGCCTTGCTGGTCCACCTTCCGACATTGTTTCAGGGGCGTAGGTTTGGGAGAGACGAGCGCTGTGGGCACCAGGCGTACGGGAAGTGGCCACGTGCGATCAGATGGTGTAGGGATGAATAAGCGGAGGCAGGGAGATGTACGTACATTCGGCTAAAACAGCCTGGCAATGGGTGTGGAAAATAGTGGGGGGCAGAGGGCCCTAGCTGAGGGCACAGGCAGCCATGGGTGAAAGGACATTTACCTAGGAAACGGTTAGGAGGTAGCATAGTAGTACTTGGGATAGGGGCATGTTCTGATAGCCACCTGTTTCATGTCAGCCTCTGTTGCATGCACTTTGATTACTCGTGTCAACTCCTCACAGATCTCAGAGACTCAGATCTCTCCTCCTCCTCTCTCTCTCTCTTCCCAAAGTTTGGAATAACTAACCTCATGAGTGGGGTTTCTCTTTTTTTTTTTTTTCTTTTTTGGGGTTAGCTTATTCCGGGACTTATTTTTTAAAGGGACTTCTCTCTCTGTTTTTTTTTTCCCCCTGCTTTGGCGTACTGAAGTTTTAAGGGTTGATCTGCATTACTAGGAACACACAGATTTCAACTAGTTGTGAGCTTCCATTAATATATCTACATGGGGTTCTAATTTCAAGAGCTGCATCTTGATATTCTAGGAGTTCTAGCTAGTCACATATACTTATCCTGTAAAAATCGATTGCTGGATTGTTTATCTAGCAGAGATATAGTCATGGCAATTTAATATAGCCAACGCGGATATATCTACTCTCTATAAGATTGACGAAGGAAAATTGATTGTGGAGAAGGGTGCAGCATCTACAGTCAGAACAGAGAGATAGCATCCCCGAGTTGATGGTTGCCTAAAAATCTCTCCTTTTTTTGTTGGGTAATAAAAAATTCTTTCTATCTCTATGTCTTGTTGGTATATAATACCAGGATTCATTTATCTATCATCTAAGTTTGTTTTCTTTCAATTTTTTTGATCACTAAATCATCGGCAGAGGATTTGGGGGTTGGGGGTGCATCCCAGAGCTAATAGTCTGTTGTGGGAACAAAAGCATTGACCTTGATCTATCAGCTATACGAAACCTTTGTGTTTCAACTCTAGGCGGCTGTCCTTGTACGTAAACTGCCCATACCAGTCCGTTCCATACTTGTTTATTATAACTATGATATCTGGGTGACGACTGGGTAAGCTTACGAGGAAATCTTTCAGATCCACTTGGTGTCTCTAAGTAAGACATGCGCTGGGCCCTTACCATTAATTAATCGTTTGGACTTATTCTAACGTGATTATAATATGTGTGACTATGATATAATAAATTTATATATATACGGGCCTGACCACACATTTCCCAGAATACCATTTGAGCTGGTTATAATATTCTTCTTAGAGAGAAGTTCAATCATATTCCGTAGATCCAAACTAGTTTTTTGTAATATACTTTACTTTACCCTTCGTCCTGCGTAGCAAGTATGGCAAGTCTGGTAGGCTGAGGAATTTTCCTGGTAGACCAACCTACTCAGAGACGTGTCATCCTCTAAATTCCCGGATGCTTAGGCTTTTTGTGCCAACCATTTCCTTAAGTGACACGTGAAATATCTTTGTCTTCTCTGATTAATTAGTATTAAACTAATATCCCGGAGGTTACATTTTTCATCGTTAGTTTTTGGTTTTTTTTTTTTTCCGTGCTCATACTTTCGGCTTCAAAAGTCAAGTCCTTTTGCTCTTGTCGTATCCTTCCCTTTCGCTTTTTTAACTGATAAAAAAGTGCAAGTAAATTTCTGGTTTCATAGGCTACACGTGTAATCCTGGTGCGTGGCATTTGTCTGCTTCTTCTTTTTCGCTTTGTTTGCTTGTGATCTTTCCATTTCATTTTCTCTCTGTTTTTTTTTTTTAATAAAAAAAGGCTGCTCACAAGCTTATGGTTTGTTCTTTCTGAGAAGTTCCCCCACCAAGCCTAGCTTCCAGCCTGTTTTTGTTTACCATGGTTTCTGAATTCTGGAGTCTGTGGGTATCAGTCGTGTTTGAACATAAAATTAGAGAAGATACAAATTAAAGAAACAAGAACATGGAAGAGTCTGTGGGTATCCCCTATCAGAAAGCAAATAACATGACCACACTCTTGGGCGCACACATGGATTGTTAGCAATCATTCCCACAGTTGGTCCAAGTTTAAACTTTAAATATATTTTTTATTTTTAATTATAAGGTTGGTGCTATGATGGGAATCTTTCATTATTTCTTTTTCATTCAGCAATTGACTTGGAATTGCATTCTTCATATTATTTTAGTGCTTTTTTTTCCCAAGTAAAGCTTAAGATTTGTTTATTGAATGGCAGGTAAAACCTATCATTGTTTCTACGGAAATCATTTTAGACTCCTATCATTGTTCTAAAGGAAACATTTTTATTCAAGAAACTTGTTTCCTCTTATTTGCACGAACCTCAAAGACAGCACACGGATGCTGTAGTAGTCTGGCTTCGCTGCATTTGCTTTTGTATTCTGTATCATACTCATTTTTTTATAGTAGATATGGTAAACCATTTCGTTAACTTATATATATGGACAAGGCCATCTTAACTGTGGCTCTGTAATAATTGTCCATAACCAGAGCAACACAATTTCCTGTTCACCATTTGGAATCTTGTTTCGTTGGTCAAGCACTCTGTTCCTTCGTGCCAGGATGATCCTGCAGGCCAAGGAATTATGTTTCCTTAAACACACATATACACTGGAAGGTCATTTTCTTAATCTGCTAGTTCGTCTGTATCCAACTGACCATATTGTTCTTACTGTTGCTCTCGTGAAACCCTGACATCAATTGAAACCGCATCAAACTCTAGTTTATAATGCAACAAATAAAAGATTTTCCTAGTTAGTTATACTGTAAATATATATGTGAATTAGTCAAAAAGAAAAATAAACTGAATCAGTTGGAAGGTGGGAAGTTTGGTCAAGGGAAAGAGGGGTGGATCGTTGAGTGGAGCCAAAAAGGTAAGGGACAGAGAGAGATTGATTATGCCCTTGATGTAGGCTTAAACTTGTAGCTTTTTAGCTTGTGTCACTCTCATCCGACTCAGAATCGACTAATACCTTACTTCAGGACGCCAGGATCTTTCAAATCTAGCCTTTATATATATATATATGGGCAATTCGTCATTTCTGCTGTTGTTTCATTTATATGAGTGCTGCTCTTTAGCTTTATCTTTCTTATCGTTTACACTTGTACTTGCTTTTGTTGTTTAGACCAAACAAAAGAAAAATCGTCCATCTTAGAAAACGACCTTAATGTTTGTTTGCTATTTGGCCCATGGAAAAGAACATCTGTAAGCCATGGCTTTATTACCAACTGCCTCATTTTAATGCTGGCCTGGCCATAATAGATTACCTTTCCATGTCAAATTTATTCTTGAACTTGTTGGACGAAAATGACTTCCACAATTTTTTGTTCGTTTAGGCTTTAAATATTTGAACTGACCAGTATGTACTTGATTTTGATTGGCATGTATTTTTTTTTTTTTAAATTTCATTTGTTCGATAGAGAAACCGACTTCCTAGCTATTATTTTATGGGTGATGTTTTAAATTCCACTTGGTGATGGTGGGGGGATTAATAGATTTTCCCTCAGTTCAAGAGATTTCCATCCAAGAGCATCTTGAAGCATATAGGAACAAAATTTACTGTTTTGGAGGACAGTTATCTGAGTGTCACATGGAGAATAACATTTGATCAGAATTTTTTTTTTTTTGCTTGAATTAACAATCATTGAAATGATCCTATCACGTCGTAGATGAATGCAAACCACGCACGCATTGGTAAGTAAAGTAGTAGTATATTATCCTGCTTCTATCACCAAATTAACCCAAACAAAACAATAAAAAAGCTTTCGCAATTGCAATCTATCAATCAGCAAAACTCGGACAAATATTGAATTGCCATTGTTTATTCTCCACCGACTAAAAACAGTCACCGCGTCACCAGATATCAAATAGGATTTTACAGGTTGACAACTTAAAAACAAATACAGAATAAAAAGGTCTTCAATCATTTTTTTAATAGTTCAAAGTTCCATCGACGGATGAGGTGGCTTTGGTATGGTCGTCAGTCGCTTTCACCGACTCCGATCGTGGGGCCCACCTCGATGTCCCCTCAGTTGGGCCAAAACTATGGATCCCGAGTTTGTTTCAAGTTAGTGTTTGGGTCAAGTACTGGGCTTTTGGCCCATTGAATTGTACACACGTAGGCCCATCTGAAGAGCAGGCAAACTCCTTCGCGGGGGATTACTCTTCTTTTTACACACAGTATTTATACGCTGAGTTGTTGTATTATTAATGTTAAGGATTAGATTATATTTCTGTTCAGTCTATAAACTCGAATCCATTACTGTTCTGTTTGCAGGTAATCAGCGCTGGAAAGTTACAGGGTCAATATGAAATACATGTTTCTTTTTATTGTCACTCTCAGGGTAATCATCGAAGCAGGCCCCTTTTCATTATTGCTAGGCGTAGGATTCTTAACTAAACAGTATTATAATCCTTAATTTCCCTCTTGCCTGTCCCCCCCCCCCAGCTTCGCACACAGATTACCAAGAAGAAGCTAAGCAAGCTGCAAGAGGCAATGGGATTCCAAACACCCCATTCAAGTAAACCCAAAGTGCAACCTGTTACCAAACCCATTCCCTCGTCCTACGATTCATGGATGGTACGTTTGAACACAATAGTAAGGGATTTGTTTTCTTTTGAAGAAATTTAAGAAAAACATATATATACTCACAATTGCCTAGGAACACACTGACCAATTCATGAAAATTGTGGAAGTTGATAATAAGATTCATAGGTGTATGACTTAATGAACAGGCGAGGCATCCTTCAGCGCTGCGTTCATTTGATAGACTGATGAAAGCAGCAAGTGGAATGGACGTGGTTGTGTTTTTAGACTATGATGGCACCTTGTCACCCATTGTAAATGACCCTGATCGTGCTTTTATGTCTGAGGAGGTACACACATTTTTTTTTTTTTGGCAATACTCTTCCTGTGTAAGACTTTTCTTCATCTGAGTGTAATGTGGATGTGGTGATCAATCTTAATGCCAGATGCGTGCAGCAGTGTGTGAAGTTGCTAGAAATTTCCCAACTGCAATAATTAGTGGAAGAAGCAGAGACAAGGTGAGTTCAGAGCAGACTCAATTAATATAATTAGATCCTCATAATTATTATACTTTTCTCTATTCTTATTCTCTGCATTTTGACATGTAGGTTAAAGAATTTGTCAAGTTAAATAATGTGTATTACGCTGGAAGTCATGGGATGGATATAATGGCACCATCAGCGACAGCTAGATCCTCTGATGGCGACCATTATAACATGGCCCTCGACACCACTAAGGTGAGTCACTCGATCACTGTCTTGATCTGATTTATTCTGTTCTTTTATTATTTGTTTGGCCCTCCGACATGTGTACACATGGATTTACTCTCTTCTCCCTATGATTGACTCATTAGCGTAAATCTGTGTCCTTTTATATAGGATAATGGGGTTCCCTTTCAACCTGCGAAGAAATTTTTGCCCGCAATTCGAGAGGTGAGATAAATTCAATGGGCACGCGTTCAAGTGGCTTAAATGTTCTTTATTGCTTCATAGTTGTTTTGTTTGGCTTGAATAATCCCAACCTGAACAATTCTTAAACAATTACTTTGGGTGTTGGACAAATTTTTGTGTAAAACAGATATTGAAGGTATTAGAGAATAAAATAAAAGGCATACAAGGTGCAAGGATAGAGGACAATGGATTCTGCATTTCTGTACACTTCCGGCAAGTTCAAGAAAAGGTAACCTTACTGTTCATCACCTTTCTCCTAAAATATCAAGGCAGCATGCAATTATAGCCATGTCACTTTCTGTATCCAGGACTATGTTGAATTAGAGGAGAAGGTGAAGTCCGTGCTTGAAAAACACCCAGACTTTTGCCTAACTGAGGGTAAAAAGGTACAAGAACAACATGTCCTGCACAGATATATAGCTACTCTATCAAACTTATTGCTTTGAGTGGTTAATGATCAAAGTATTTAATTCACAATATAGGTTCTGGAAATAAGGCCATCCATAGAATGGAACAAAGGGCACGCCCTGGAATATTTTCTGGACACACTAGGATTAAGCAGTTCCAGCAACATCCTTCCAATCTACATTGGTGATGATCGAACCGATGAAGATGCTTTTAAGGTTTGAATTTGAGCTGGTGGCTGTCGTCATGATCATATACTATCCTTAGATGATATGTCTCTAATAGAAGTAACCAACGTGATTTGTACATGTGAAAATTGTGTAGGTGATACAGAAGAGAGGACAAGGCTATCCAATTATAGTATCTTCAATTCCGAAGGACACCAAAGCTCTCTACTCTCTGCGAGACCCGTCAGAAGTGCTAATTTTCTTGTCACGTCTGGCGAAATGGAGGAAAACCATTATTGGCTTGAATTAACTTGGCCCATGAATTTTGGTTAAGGGACAAGTTAAGTCATGAAATTTCGAGTTTTTTTTTTTTTTTGGGCAGTGCATATAACTAACTACTTTCCCACTGTCGATTTTGAGAAAAGTGGGTTAGTTGGGTTGTAGTTGTTAAGCTTTTTTTGTATATTTCCTACAGCTTGTAAATACGGTCCCAGAAAGAGTGTTACTGCTCTGGCTGCTATAGAGCTTTTATCTCTCAAAGCAGCCCATTGAAAGACGCCTGTAATTTAGACATGCAAGAGTTTGCTTAATTATAGTTACGGGTGTTAAGTGATTTTGACCTTTGACTTTTTGGTATGGAATTGAGAAAAGAGAAGTACTTGTATTTCGACATATATACATATATATATATATATTACTTCAAATTAAAGCAGCTAAAATAAGCAGATCAGAACACAATTTCTCTGTTTGCAAAGGAGGGAATCTGTACTCTCATGGTAACACTAGAAAACAGAGAGAAGCATTAAATCCCAAGAATATGCGTACAGTGAATGCGTGCGCCTAAGTTTAAACAGTCCTAAGAAAGTGCGTTAGGTTTAGGAAGGACGGCTAGTATTCCTTTTGAAAGTAAAGTACACAAAAAAATCAAGAAGTGTCAACCAATATTTTTGTTTTCAGTTTGCAAAATAAATGCTTTGTGTTATATTGAAAGTGACTGAAAGAAAAGAGACGATAAATGCAAGGAACTAAAAAATGGAATATAAACTGCACAGTAGACAGTAGCACACACACAGATGTATAAAATAAAACCGTTATGTTAAGAGTTTTGTTTTATGGGATAATCTTTAAGACTTTTACTATTGGTAACAACTCCGTCTTATCCCACAATGATGAAATTAACGGGCCGTTCATTATTAGTAGGAAGTGATGGAATATAAGACAAAGAAAAAGGTACTTTTGACATGGGAAGGAAACGACAAGCATGGAAGCCAAGCGACCCCATACCTCGAAAACAAAACACGAAGCCAAGTTTCAAACAACACTTGAAAGTCGCATGAGAACCACAGAAAGGAAGTAAAGGAAAAGGAAAAAGTCTTGAAGAATAGTCCAACGAAATGAACAGAGATAGAACTTAAGAAGGATAGGCCTCCACGTTACGGCACCTGTCTGGGCTCTGTTTTCCCTTTCAAAGGGCCAACATCAACCTGCTCTCCCTCACTTCACTATTTAACTGCCATGTTCATGCACCTTCAAAAGTCTCTTTCAATTTATCCATTTAAATATTTTAAACCCACTGCATCTTTAAAATGAACGATAGCAAATTGCTATCAATAATAAATACTCTCACCATTATTAATATACATTAATTTTTATGGCAAGTTATATTAATAATCCGCGATTTTTTAAGATTCCGTTAGGATATATCTGATCAAAATAAGAAATTTTGTGCCCTATTATCTTCTTCTTCTTCTTTTTCTTTCTTGTGTTGGCATAATAGAGGTGGGAGTTCAGGCGGGGTGAGCTTATTCAAAACTCGATATAGAGAAAATAGCCCTATTGGTTAACACACAAAGCTTGATCTTAAACAATCAAGTTCACAGACCAGTCCACTAGCCTTTATTTATGTTTTCTCCTCCGAACAAGATTATTAATTTCGACGTGGATACACTCATAAATTGTGCAATTCAAGTTCAACACACAAATACACAACTCTCTAACAATCAAAATAATAAAATACAAGCTTCATACAAATTTTGCAATGGAAGTTTAAGACACAAATATTGATAAACTTGTAAATAACAGTGACATAGCAAATAACAAGCAAACACTAACTTAAAAGAAATTAACTGAATTCATCAAAATATCAAATCACATTCAATTTTATATCCTTCATCATTTTTAATATAATAATCTTCACTGAGGTGCGAATTCGCCAACCCACAACCTACAAGTTGCTCTAGGCCCACAATGAACCGAGTGAGATGATAAGGGGGGGCAAACTTCCTCTTCAATCTTTTGGTATAATTTACTTGAAACTTGGACAAGTTAGTTAGTTCTAGAGTCCGTATATGGGTTGGGATTTTTTATGGCGGAAGTGCAAAAGGTTCAAAAGGGTGGGGAGAGGCAGACCCACTTTGATTGGTCATGGAAAAAGGGGTGAAAAAAAATAAAGGAAAGCAAACCCATGAAAATGCTTGTTGTTCACGAGATCTATGAAGCTGAAAATGTCATCTTTCTCTGACTACGGCTGCTCCTTATGAACTAATAACAATTTGCATGTGGGGTCCCTATTTATCATCTTTTATGGCATTTTCTACCTTTATTATCATAGGATAATATATAAAGAAGAGGCATAAAAGAATAATCTCTCATACACAATAATATTCTTTTAGCATAATTTCTCCGTAATTGTTAAATATTAAATTATTTAATATTGGCTGAACCGATTCTCATTTTTACCCATTAATGTTCATATAATTATCCTTCATCAGTAAAACGGTGATACCCATATATGCTCACAAATTATAAGTTATTTATTTATTTTTAATGACAGAAGTCTCCTGAAAGTGAACTGGAGCAGATAGGTGAGAACCTTTTAGTTTCACAGATTAATCCATTCAATGCTCACGGGCATGGTGCGAATGCCCTTTGCCATTCGGAACAGAACTACAATTCTAAGTACACATCATCATCATCATGAGAGAAATCAACGTATTTATCAATTATAAAAAATTATGTAAATTGAGATGATAAACCTGAATACCTTTGAGATTTCTTTATTAATTTGTTTCGTTTGCCACTGGCTGAATTAAGTCTCTTTAACGCGGCCTTCAACGGCCTAAGCACATGCTGCGCCAGAAATAGGCCATCAAAAATGGGAAAAGAGACCAGGGAACATTCACTTCTGTTTTTGACAATTACCAATAAAGTTACTCCTTTGAATTGGGGTGATAATTCCGTCAAAGGTGCTCCATTCAAATACCTTATATCAGAAGATAAACGATCTTTGTCCAATAATATAGCCGGGATGATTCCCGAACGGTTTTGATGAAGAAATCGTAAATATGGGGTGAAGTGGAGGGTAATTTAGTCGGAAAAAACGACAGGAGCGGAAACGGACAAAGCGATGGCGTGTTTGTAATAATAACACGATCAAGTGGAAGGTGTTTCAACAAAATTGATTGATTTACCTTTTTGTTGTTTAATATCATTTTTGATGTCACTTTAATAATCTTCTTTCCATAAAAAAAAAAAAATCATTTTTAAGATAAAACAGGGGACCTGCGATGCGGTAGTTCATCGATGGCGGTGACTCTCATACGCATCTTATTCCCCTGAAATCGGTCCCTTTTCTGGAAGCTTCCACCTGCGGCGATCTTAGCTCTGTGTGACCCAAATCGACGATTTCGTGCGTGGCAGCGCCGATTCGATCCTGCACCCTAATTTCATGGTGGTTGTTGGTTGTTTCTTGTGGAGATTGAAAGTTTTATAGTTACAGTTACAGGTTGTGTGGCATCGGTTCTTGCTCGGGGAGAAAGATGAATGGGAGTATTAATGGGTTTGGAAATAGAGGATTGAGCAGTTTGGAGTTAGAGTACATAAGGAGGCACCATAGACACGAACCCGGAGAGAATCAGTGTAGCTCTGCTCTCGTTAAGCATATCAAGGCGCCGGTTCCTCTGGTAATCACTTTATCCCTATTCAATCTTTGCGCTCGTGTTTCTGTGTTCGATTGTAGTTGTATGTGTCTATGTAAAGATGTTTGCGTGTGTTACTATAATCGAGATGTGCTTACTGCGAAATTGGAATGTGTTTGTCTTCTTAGTTACAGAATCCCTTCTCTGAATTTTGATTCTTGGGATCGGTGGATGGTTTGGAAGGTGGAATTACCAAGGTTTTCTGGGATCAGTGTTTCGAATATGTTGCTGCTGTTTATGCCTTCTTCTTCGGTTTTTCCCCCTATTTGGGAGAGAGTAGAACTGATTGAGAGCAAAAACGGGGTTATGACCAAGGTCAATGAATTTGAACGGATTTAATTGAAAGCATTTGAATATTCTGACAACCCCCCCCCCCCAAAAAAAAAAAAAAACTTGAAGAACTCATCCTGTTTTTGGTCTCTTTGGGGGGACATGTTTCTCAAGAACACTTGATCTACTACAATACTATTACTTTTTTGAGGCTCCCCCAGCAGCTGTTTGTATTGGGTCATAGCTAAGTCGAGGATGATTTATGCCAAAGTTCTTTCATTATTCTAGCAGAGCAAATAGCATTCCTGCACCAGTTAACGCTTTTCTCACCTTTTTTGCACACCCGACAAGAAGAATTCAGCTATCTTTCCTTCGCTTGCAAAATGATCCATGGTTCCATTGATTGAAAGATATTGTTGAGGGCCTTTGCAAGGTTCTTGATGGTTGATGCTCTGCAGTATAGTATATATTTAAGTCTAACTGGCTAGCTTTAATTGCTGTCAAAATAATATAAGATTTTGCATAATTTATTTTTCCCCTTTAATGATGGGTGAACCAGGCAACAAGCGAGAACTGGCAAACGTTCTGTTTTACCCTAGCAAACCCAAATTTGTTCTCTCTTTTTTGGTCTTCTTTGTTAATAGGGCTTCGTTTGCTTCTTCTTCTTCTTCTTTAAAAGTTTGGCATGCTTCTTGACAACATTTTTATCTAATGCAGAGGTCATTTTGATTTGAAGGTTATAGTTAATTAGGTTGTCTCGGGATTGCTTGCTTATGGTGTATTGATTTGCTTTCTCTAGGTATGGTCTTTGGTGAGGAGGTTCGACCAACCACAAAAGTACAAGCCTTTCGTGAGCAGGTGTGTTGTTAAGGGTAACCTTGAAATTGGGAGTCTGAGAGAAGTTGATGTTAAGTCAGGGCTTCCTGCTACTACAAGTACTGAAAGATTGGAGCTTCTGGATGACAATGAACATGTCCTTAGCATCAGGATCATTGGTGGCGATCATAGACTTAGGGTATGAAATACCTTCTTATTAAGTAGTGATTCTTGTTCTGAGCATTGGAATTTTTTATTCCTTGTGAAAAAAGCATCAATCCATTTTGAAGGGAGCTCTACAATTGCATCTTTTGTGCATCATTTGAGGTACTCAAAATTTACATTTTCTTTATAATTTCTTTGAGGCGAGCAGCAACTTAAGTATTTAATCATTTTTTACAGTTTAAAATATCTTTAGGAATATCGGTACCAATACGGATTATGGAGGCCTTTTAGTTGAGAATTGATTGATCGAGTACCATGTTTTTATTGAATGCCTAGGTATATTTTGTATAGGCTCGTCCCTGAATTAAACGATTGTCGAACCCCATAAATGAAATGATTTTGGTTTACTGGTAAATTAATTGCAAATGCACAGTTCTATGCTGTTGACTCGAATAACTTAGCCTTTCTCTTCCTGTAAATAATGGTTTCGGCTAGCAATCTAAGAAGTATCTTTTAATCTCCAGAACTACTCGTCTATCATGTCTCTCCACCCAGAAATTATCGAAGGAAGGCCAGGCACACTCGTAATTGAATCTTTTGTGGTGGATGTACCCGAGGGCAACACTAAAGACGAGACATGCTACTTTGTTGAAGCCCTAATAAAATGCAATCTCAAGTCACTTGCTGATGTCTCAGAAGGGCTGGCTGTGCAGGACCGCACTGAGCCGATTGATCCGATGTAGAAATGGATGATAAGGAGAGTTAGAACTTGGCTGCCATGGATGAAGCTTCAGAAGCTTTCCAATCAGGGAGGGCTTAGGAGACAGACTGGCAATGATTCCGCCTCCATCTATATCAGAGTAGCAGTGCTGTTACTATGGTTTGCTATTTCATATCTTCTTTGTTATGTGTTCTGGTCTATGTGTTAATTAATCAGCATAATCAGAGTTTGTCTCAATCCAGTGCAGTGTAAGGAGAAAGACCAGGCGCTTTTGCGTGGCCTTGGGTTTTGTATATAAGTGCTGGTGAGTATAATTGTTTCCATCGGTGGGGTTGTAGTTTCAAGTTGAAGTTGCAGTGAATTTATCATTTGGTGCTTGAAGATACTTCTAGCGAACAGATACCAATAGCGTTTAGTTAGTGGTTAGACATCATTTGATTCACTAATTCATCAGCGACTTATGTGGAATGCTCAATTATAAGTGGGTTCAAACCCTGTGGTCTACGGATGTTCGAGTAAAGAGTGGCTCACAAATCGCGTGCAAGTGTTGTACGTGTGGGATTCGCCTTAAATATTGTTGCCATGCCAACTAGAGCTTGCAACCTCGGCCCGGGCTTCAGAATAAACAAAACATATTTGATCAATGAGGATACAAAGAACTGAATAGCTACGGGAATGAACATGTCATAAGGGCAAAACCGAAAGACCTTGCGCATCGTGAGCAGGACTGGTTGCCTCAGATATGCTCGAAATGCGTAACCAAATTCCTAAAAAGAATTTGATAACAATGGAATCCACCAAGTTGGAGGAGCTGCGGAGTTGAGAAGGGGAAAAAAAATTTTTAAAAAAAGGGGGGGGTGTTTACCAGTGGGGCTTCTGTTGCCGCACTCTTCCCTTCCGTTTTCCCCACATCCTCGCCCTTTTCCTACCCCCAGCGTAATTCCTCAATGCCAGTTCGCGACTCAGCCTTCTCACTGTCAGCATCAACTTCGTCTACCCTCGGTTTTTCAAGGACTAAAGCCGAAGTGGCCTCCGCTATGCCCGAAGTTTCCCCACCATTTCTATCAATATCCGATTCTTATCATCTCCCATGAAATTTGATTTAGACAGTGAACTCACTCTGCCGTCGACATGTAAAATTGGTCAATGTACCGCTCAGGCGAAGGCGCAAGTTATGTAATTCGGTGCTGACTGCATGAATATAATAACATTGTAAGGGACGAAGAATGGTGTATGAAGCCGTTGCTTTATGGATTTATGCGAGGTTTGCAGCAAAGTGAAGCTTGAAAGTGTTGTCATTGCTAGGGCTTTACGTTTATCACTGAGCTCACTTCCCCTCGCTAGAGGACGTTGCCTTATCGTCGGTATCCAAATCGCCGCCTGCATAAGATTCTCGGCCGTTGCCGACGTGTCTACTCCAACCTCCATCCTGAAACAATTATAACTAGGGGATAGGTTTTTAGACTGTTTTTGGCCGGGTTTCTTCTGTTTATGCGATTGTGTTCTCAGTTTTACGCAAAAATAAAAAAAGAGAAAACAATTCTAACTTTTAATATCTTTTTCCAAAAATAACTGTCATTTTAAATTTTAAGCATCAATTTTTGCAGACAGTTTTTTTCCTTCAATGAAGCAATGTTGCTGTGTAATATACTAATATTACAGATTTTATGATATATAGTATTTTTGTTTTTTAGGGTGGGCAATATCCAAGTCTGCAACTCGAAATAAGAGGAGCCCTTCAGGAACTTAATAAGATAGTTTTCAGTGTAGCAGGACTTAAACATGCGACCATTGGATTAAAATCCCAATGCTCTACCACTTGAGCTATACACTCAAAATAATTAAATAAATACAGTAGTAAAAGAGTGAAAGAGAGTCTGCTTTGTTCAAAAATAATAAGACAATCAATAACGCTGATCATTAACTTTGGAGAGAAACAAGTTTTAGGGCATTGTAATTCCTTGAAAAATCCTAGAAGCGGAAGCAAGTTTAATAATGTAGAACAATAGGGATATATACACAATTTCTGATTAAGTATAAACAAACCTCGCTGACAACCCCATCCCATAAACTGTTTTAACACTCGGACAAACTGCTTTCACATCATTCAGCTACCAAAAAAATCCACCCAAAAGAAAGACTGATAATAATTCTTGGCTACATATCACGTCATTGAACTTTGAGTTTTGAAATTATAAGGGCAGCGGACGGGAGGAAAATAAATTAAAAATGAACTTGTTCCATGGTATGTCATTTGTGAGTCAACTAGAAGGTCCACACCAATTGCTTACAGAACTCCCAAATCTCAAAAGCAACGAGAGATAAGGAGAGAAGAGAGAAAAAGGAAAAACGAAGAGGGGCAGATAAAACGCGGCCTACGCGGACTCATAATCATGTCAGGCCAGTGCAGGGCAGTTGAACCCAAAATTCAGAGCTCTAGTTCTGCGTTTACTTGAGGTTCATGTGAGAGACATACTATCGGATGTGACCAGATCCATAGGCAGGCATTGTTGATGTAGGTGGGACTGAACTATGGCTTGGATATTGCACCATTCCAGGGGCCATCGGAGGCGGCATGGAGCCAGGTGGCATGTAATGATTATTCTGCATATGTGGCGGCATAGATTGAGGTCCCGCTGGAGCAGCGGATGTAGCCCATCCGGCCTGAGGCTGGTGCATCACAGGCTGCTCAGGGCCTGCAGCATACTGAACCCCATTGTATTGAACAGCATGACCTCCCACAGGGACCGGATGTTGCCCCAATATAGGGGGCTGGGCGTCCACAACTGGTGGTGCATTAGGAATGGTATAATCTCTGCTCCTATCATTATTAACCTGTAAGCACGCAAGCCATCAACATTACAACCCTAAAGCCACCGCTAGTAACATGCATCTCTTCGAGAGGAAACAGCCCATAATATATATATATATATATATAAGGTTGGTCAAATTGTTTCTCATCAATCCCTTCCACATAAATCGACAAAAGCACACACCCCCGCAAACACAAGAGCAGACTTTGCTTACATAACCAATTACCACTTCTTTATCATTCAAGAATATAGTCAAATAGCTCCTTATTTTATACCAAAGTACCTTTATGCTAAGATCAGTATGACGCGAATATGAGATGTGTAGCTTGCAAAACCCCCCATCATAAATGCAGTGGCCTTCCAAGGCTTCCTTGGCCACAACAGCAGTCTGTACGTCTGTAAACCATGGCATATAAACATCTTAAACAATAATACACACAGTATACTTATTTTCAATCAGCCCAGATGAATACGACTTCCGCATACAACCTTACCTGGGTATTGAATCAGAGCCTGTAAACCACCATTCTTGTCAAACATTGCAATCTTTTGGACAGGCCCAAAAGCAGAAAAAACCTGCACAGTCACGCAAGGGAAAGTAAAAAAGGATCTTATTCACTAGACTTCCAGGTCAAGTTGAACTCTAAAGTAAATTATAGTGGTTTAATATACCATGTGCAAGACATCCAAGGTTACTGCATACTGCATGTTTTCAATAGATGCAAGAAGAACATTACTCTCAGGCTCTAGCTTTTTCCCATCCAAACCCACACCAAACTGCAATAACCAAACACATATCTCAGTAAACTGCACGTCAGCAAGCATGGAAACCCTTCGCAGTGGGCTCACACCTTGCTGCTGTGCATGCAGGGAGCATTCAAAATGAAAGAATTTGAAAAGCCCAGTATTGCTCATTCAAACAGGGCAGAAGATACATATATAATATTGATACTCCCTCAAATTATACTTAAACTCCCTCACAAACATTACCTGTCCACTTCCATCTATGGCTGACGAAGCAACAGGAAGGTAAGGATTTGTGTAGTCTCTAGAGCAAGAAAAAGTGCGGTTACAATAATGAAAAAGAAAAAACAAAGATTGCAGCAGAAGTAAAATAGCTCAAAAGCCGCAGCAAGAAAAAGTACATAGACAATAAAAAAGGAAAACTGCACAAAAGAAACCGCAATACCTGCTCCTGTGGCTTTGGAACTTAACACTTAAATCTGTATGTCCAGAATACGTAATTCTGAGGTTACATGGTCCCACGTGCTCAGGAAGCAGGTACCTGATACCAAGATAACACAATAATAGCCATCATAAGTCAACAAAACCTTTGCAACAATAATGCATTGCAGGCACAACTTAATCATCGAAGCAAAGGGATGTGCTAATAACCACTAATTTGCAGTCAAACTAAACACCAAAGTCGTCCAGATTCAGACCTTTAGTAGAATTGGGTGAAAGATAAAAACTTGACACTAGTTCATAGAACTCAAGCACAGTCATGAACATGAAATACGATATGAACCAGACAAAGAGAACTGCATAGAACTACAGGCAATGGCTCATATTATCACTCGCAGGCAGGAAGGGTTCCAGCCTCTTTCGTATAATTCAAGGGCCGATTAGTTACTAGTCCAACAATCTTGATAACGCAACTAAGCAACTTTCTTTTTAACATTCAAGATGGTGTTTGAGATGACATAACTAACCATAATACAAAGAAATCTAAAACAACACATACAGATTCATCAGATATAGACTATTCTAAAAGGTGAATGTGCAACAATCCCACTAGTGATCTAATTCGGCATATATGCACCACATCTACAACCTTCAAGTCAACAGCAAATGAACAAATACCATGCCGAACAAGTAACACAAGCGATACCTAGGTATGCTTCTACCATCCAAAGCATCCTTTGCGGAAGTGGCTGTCTCTGCATCTGAAAATTGCACCAGGGCCTGAAAAATGGTATATAAAATAAGCCTGAGCTCACGTTTTATATATGCATTCGTCTCAATTAACAAAATTGAACTGCGAATAAACCTGGAATCCTGCTGTCTTTTCAAAGGTAGTAATCTTATGTACAAATCCAAAGGCTGAAAATACCTGCATCAGTGAATAACCCACTTTGAAAATGATACACAGATAGTTCTTATTAATTGAACATCAATCGATTAATCTCAGATGCCTTTTCAAGTTATGGTGTAAGACTGAGAAAATATATTAAATCTAGAAATCCACGTTCAAGAAATAAAATACATTACTTACATAAAATTTCCCCCACTTCTTCAATTACCACATTGTGCGGACAGAGGAAAAAAAGCATCAATGAGTAAAAGCAAACTGACAAAAGTATCAGAAAACATGTTCAAGCAAGATATTATATCCCCTTATTAGCCTTCAGAACAATGTTTCTGTTCAGTCTCTTGGTGTCTCACAAGCCTACTGCTGTAAGTAAAGACCAACAGAAGGGATAATGAAACTGGAAGGGGCAAGTATAAGGTTGTCAAAGGTTTATCTGAATCTGTGACACTGACACTTTTAGGAAGAAAAAAGTATTGACAAGGAGATAATTTTGCGAAGTGATTCAGCTTATATCATGGCTTTCAAAAACAAGCTTGCTTCACCAAATTAATTACCAATTTGAAGATCAAATTATCTGTCATAACTTAAATTCAAACAACGGCTGTATGAAATAGATTACCACCACAAGCTTTCTCAGCTACAAATCACGTGTTAACCAAGCATCTACCAAAATTTAAAGGAAAAGGTTTGCCTACTTGCAGGAAGACTGGTGAAATCTCAACCTCATGAAACAATATTATTAACAAAATTAAAGTACTGAAAAGAACACAGACAGCAACTGAGTCTACAAAACAAAAAACACAAGCAAAATACCATGACAGATCACGAGTTGCCAAAGTTTTGTATACACAAGAGGACAAAACAAAGCCAATCAACAGCCTAAACTATAATAACGGTAGGAGTTGTTGGGAGAAGAGGGAAGAAAGAGGCAGTGTTAAGGAAAGGAGAAAAGAGACAAACACACATGCGCTCTTTCTCATGCACTAAGCTGCCATCGAAGATATTGCCTTGACATGGGCCTGCTGATTCATTTGCATACATGTCAACAAAAGCTTTCCATAGCATGACAAAGCAAAACCTAATCACAAAACTAAACAACCAGCATCCTCATGGTGACAACTGTATATTTCACGAACGAACAGCCAAGAAATTGCTTACCAAGTGCAAAACATCAATGCTGACAAGGCGTGCATCAGCACCCTCAATTGTTACCAACAGTACATTTCCAGCAACATCAGCAGCAGTTTTGTTATTTACTATTTCTTGCCTATTAGAATATTGTAGATACACAGTTTTTCCCCGTACTTGAGCAGGCTCCGAGGATGATGCATAATATGATATCATTGCAATGGCTTGATTCAGATCTGCCTAAAAAATATAAAATACACTATTTGTCAACAACACGTATTCACCATTTCTTTTTTTCTCCCCCCCCCCCTTTTTATCTTAACAATTGAACACACAACACACAGCACAGGTTCTAACCTGTGACCTTCCTCAATGAGGAAGGGTTGTATGCCATCATGACGAATGGTTAAAGGCTAAATTAAGCAAAAAGAAAAAACATAATCCACTCACAAATTCGATAAAAGCTTGATTCCGATTTGCACCAACATTGCACTTTGTGTTCACAACTTTACCAAATGGTTTCCCAAGTTCAATCAGTTCTTCTTCTGTGCACTCCCACGGCAAGTTTCTTAAATGAAGCACCTTGGATGGAGGCTGCGTGTACCGGAACTGTGGTTGACTAGACACTGATGCCATTTCAGATGATAATCCTGAGCCTGTTGGAAGGAAAGAGAAAAAATTGAAGTCGCTTGGACTACAAACCATTCACAATCATATATCCTGTAAAGGAAGCATAAATAACTTCAAAAGTACAGCTAACTACTTCCTCTATAACCATTAATGAAGTCAACAACCATTTGACACAAAAAGGGGCATATGATTTTACCATGACACGAACAGATGGGGCGAGAGACAAGGGGAAAGAGAGCCAACATTAATAATTTATGAAAAATCACGCTGCAGCCGCAATTAAAATTCCGAATATAAAAAGCCATAGATAGGATGGAAAGGAAGACATGATAACGATTAAAAGGACGTCCTCGCAATTAGAAGTCAATTCACATAAACGATTTCATGTGTTAACAATACGCCCATGTATGAACAATCGATTCTAAGCTGTTAACCAAAAAAAAAAAAACGCTTCGTCCAGTCATGAATTAGGATATAGATTAGCGCCAAGGAAAAGAGGATGTGGAATGAGGGGGGGGGGAACGAAAAAGCAATGAGAAGAGATCGGAAAGCAAAACAAGAAATAACGATTGCCTGAAAGAATCGGAAGAAGAGATGCCCGATGTGCGCGGTATTGCCCAGATTAGGGTTCCGAGAAGACGCAAACTCCTAGTACGATGAGAAAGAGAGAAGGGTCAAGGAAGGAAAGGATCGTTTCGACGTTGCCACAGTCCATTCCTTTTGGTGTCCCCGTGGGCCGTGGCTCATTAGAGCAGTCTATCACTCTATTGTGGATCAACCCAAAAAAAAACAAATCATGGCAAAAAAAATAAAAAAGTTGTTTTAATTAACTTAAATATGTTTAATTATTTCTATCATCCGAAGAAACAAATAATACCTGATTTTTTTATCATCAATATAAAATATTAAATCTATACAGATTATGTTATTTTAAAACTCATGAATTACGACTCACCTAAAAATTTTCACAATGTATGTTATGTTCTTATTTTAAATTGAGAAATATACTTTAGTGTTGTGTTATTAATATAATAAATAGAATAATATTTTAAGGCATTTTTTTTGGATAATAAAATTTTTGGTTGCTTAAATTTGTCTTAATCATCATTTTTTTTAACAAGAGTCTTAGTCATCAATTTACTTTATGAAATTCAATTTTCCTGCAATTTTATTTTTAAGTTAATAGTTCGACCATATATGATTATAAAATTGAATTTTATAGCATAATAAAATAGAGCCAATAGTAAGAAACCAAATGTTCGCCATCCCTTAAAACATTTACTGTTGTGTTTCTATCAAGCTTGAACTTTAAAAGTTTTGAGATTCATGCGGCGGTTATATATCTAAATATATATTTGTTGTATATATATTTATCAGCATATTAGTTTATATATCAAGATGTACATTGCAGTGTTATTATTATTTTTCGACCTCAAAAAGTGTCGTTATTATTAAATAAAAATAAAACAGTATTTTAATTACTAAAAATTAATTACTTAACTTTATATAGGAGGTTAAGGCATTTACTTCCCAATCAAATCGAATCATGTGCATTTTTTACATATTATTTACCCTATAATAATTTTTTTATTAATATTATCAACACTTTAAAATCTACATGTTTTGATTTGACTGGATAAAAATATATTTAGTATATAAAACTATGTAGATAATTATTCATTTTTTGTTAAACTGGTATAATTTAAAAAAAAAAACTCAAATCTAGTTTAAATCCTCCTAATAAACTACTCCTCTGGTCATATTTATAAAACACTTTCAACATATTTCACATTGACTAAAAAACGTTAAACTATATTAACTCTTCATTAAAATATAACAACTATTCAACTTTATCCCTATTTAATATATATACTTTAAAAAAAACTATCTACATTATAATAAATGAAAGATAATATAGTACATTTATGGTCAAAATTTAATAGAGTGACTTATAAATAGAACCAAAAAAACTTTCTCTCTCTGCTTTATAAACAGAAGCAGAGGAGTAATTAATTTTAAGAACACGCCTCTAGTCTCCTCTCCACACTGTATTCAGCTCTTCTTGTAAACAGAAAACTCGGGCATCCCGTCAGGCAAAGGCAACATTAGTTATTAGCCATTATGAATTGTAAGTAATCCTCTCCACTACCGCATAGCAAGCAAAATTGGTTACAAAAGGGGTGGGCGAAACAAATATGAACAAAATAAACAAAAAAGAGGGAGTGGTGGCCGCATCATGGAGTAGTGTGAGTTGGGCCAATAAGAACGTCCTTGTAAGGAGTTGGAGCAGGTTCGACGATTTTGGCGTCTTCCACATGAAGCCTTCTCCTTCTCTGATCTTCCAGAATCAGAGGCACACGTCCTTCCCTCTCACTCATTAGTCGCTCCTGTGCCCCACCCCGCAGCTTTTCCAGCCTCAGTCCATCGGTTTGTTGCATCTTGAACACTTTTACTACATTTGTCAATCCTCCCACGAACAGCAATATGCTCCCGAATATCCCAAGCCACACCCAAGTCCCACCCTGCATATCCATCATTAACCAAGAAAATCATCACGACAGAACCATCATTATTCATCATTATATCCCACACAGCATGTAATTAGAAACTAGATCAAACTTGCTGTTTCCAAAGTTAGAATTTCCTATTTTGTGGTTCAACTTGATCCATGGCTGATATGATTTACTAGAATCTGACATTTGTTAATCAAATGAGTTAGACCAAACCATATAATTATTTCGCTCGACTTGAAGCCTCACCGCCCAACCAAGTTCTTACAAGGACGTCGTATCAACATAAATAAACAACTTGATCTTCAAAAAGTCAGCTAGCATGTTAGTCCATTTTACCCAAGGGTTTTGTTTTGGGGACAAACGGTGAATAAGCACAGCAAGTCAGCATCAAATTGTTGATTTGGTCTTTCATCAATAACACTGCCTTGTGCTCTGGACTTCTGTCTCTTCATAACGCATGATTAGCTGGATTGTAGAGACATCAAGCGATAAGCAACTAAAGGAATTAGAATTATTCATAGAACACTACTTACAAGCAAGTGGAGGCCATGGCGGATCACACTAGACTGCTCATAATAATTGAGGATAGCAGCAAGCAAGAACAGCAAACTTCCCGTCAGAAATGGGATGTGCACACTCTGCTGCAAGATCTGAACATGCCCGTCCGCTCTCTCATAGATTTGGCATGAATTGTGGATCGATCCTATCACCCATAACACAGGCCCGGCCAATAGCAAGTTCAGAGCATGCCTCTCCAATTTGAAATAACCACGTCCTTTCTCCTCCTTCATTTTGTGCAATAACCACCCCGCTTAACATCAACAAATGTAAATTTCACAAATTATTAATATCTAATTACATATGAAGTGTTTAAGATTAGCCTATCATGTCAATTTCAGCGGGACATGTAGGGGAGCTACACACAGTAGTTTAATCATCCAACTTCACCGCTCGACCAATATGTTTCTGCCTCAGCCTCTCTGAGAAATTGTAAGAAAAAAATTCTTTTAAGAAAGTAATTGAGAGAAACTCCCTTCATGTTTTACCTGAATGAAAATGAAGAAAATCCCTAGAAAGGAGAGAAGCGAACCCACGGCCTGAGTTATTGGAACTCCAAACTCGACCAGTGCAAGCTGAAGATCGAACTCCATCAAGGTCAGCAAGGAATCGATTCCGGCGAGATGCGCGATAAGATCGTGGAAATTGACAATGAAGATGAGGCCAAAGGCAATGAGGAGGAGGACGAGACCGGATTGGGTTCGGAGGAGAACTGAGCCGCAAACCCGCAAGTGAGTACTACGGCAGCAAACAGATAAAGGCCCGCATTAATATACTCGTAGCGGTTCATGGTCATCCCGGGTCCATAAGTCCGGAAATCTCGTGCCGATGCGAGCTTCACCATTCCGATCAGAAATTTCCAGCGCGGCAAGAAACGGTGCTTTCGCGTGCTGGAGAGGAAGATGGAAAAATGAGCATGCTGTGTTATTGGGGAACGGCAGAGAGGGGCACGTGGCGTCGTGCATGGAGTTCGGAGTTTCGCTTCACGCAGCGACACGTGGCGGCAATGGAACTGGGTTGTGATAATGGTAATGGACCGCCCGTAACCCATTTGGCTTGGGCTGGATTCACATACCCTCGGGGTGACAAGATCGCTTTTTACTACGGCTCAAAACTCCTTTTTGTTTTGTTGGGTTTTTGCCTCCTAAAGGTGGATCCGAATCTGATTTGCTTACTTTTTGGTTGCTTTAGATGAGGTATACAAAAGAACAGGGTAGATGGGCGCGCGCGTTACTGGTTTGGGAACTCGAAAATAATGCAATTATTATGGGCAATGATATGAATGATAATACGACAATGAATTGCGAGCGTCGGGGCGAAGAACGAGGGTGGGCGCACCAGAAAACAGCTGGAGGATTGGAATGTTGAGGAAGGGTACGTTGCTAAGTAATGTGAATCCAAGCTAGCAGCAAGTAGATTTAGGAATGTGCGCGGAACAAAGTATCGGGACTCAAACGCGCAATTCGTGAGACTGCAAGGCTCCCGTCTCAATAATGGAGAACCCCAGGATAGGAGGGGAGGGGACGTGGCTCTGATATAAACGACAAAAGAATAATTGGGAGTGTCGCGTTTCACACAGAATCAGACACGTCCCATAGCCTCGTCACGTCCTGGGAAATTACATGATCATGAACAAAGTAATAAATTATGCAAAAGCTTTTGACACCCCTTCTCGTCGTTCGTGTATTCAAAAGGGCTTCTGAGAAGTTTACTGTTTGAGAATGGTTATGTGTCATCATTGCAACTTGCACGGCCCCATGCAGGTGTCATTGTCCAGTGAGTCCTCCTCCTCCGAGTCGGAAAATTATCTATTTTGAAATAAACACAAAATCTTTTTATATTTTCCATTAAAATATTTTTGGAATAATGCCTCAGCGGGCCAAGTGACCCTTGATTTTTTTACGGATATCAAGTAGTGGTGTTTTTCTGCATTATCAGCTGAGTCATTCTGCTGTATTTGGGAAGTTGTACAGATGAACGTCCTTATATGTCAGGAAAAAAGTTGGGGGTAGAGTAGGGGACTGATACCATCCGCTGTCAATTCCTTGGGAAGAACCGTACGATGTAGCGCCTATTTTGCTCCCTGAATTCTCTCTAACATTAATTTTGCACAGTTAATATTCCCTTTCTGTATAAACAATATCCGGTTCCAGGAAAGTATAATTGAAAGAGGTGAATTCTTGTGCACGACAGTGTTTGACGAATCCCGTCTGATTGACTAATCAAGATCAATTTCCTTAAGTTTACTAAATAAGTTTTTTTAAATTATTCAGTTTCTACATGGTTTCAGGGGGGACAACATGCATAGAGGAACATGAATACATATTAGTCAATATAATTAACGTCGAAACTAGCGTGATGGGAATCATAAGCCCACCTTAGTGTCAGATTGATATAATTTTAATACATGACACTAGTGCCACAGCTTTAAAGTGAAATATGGAATACTCTCGGTTCATGAGTACCTCAAGAAGAAACCCTGAGGCAAGTAGAAGAATGGTGGCCGTCCAACTTTTTTTCTTTCTGTGACCGACTTCACACAATTCAAAATTTCAATCTCGCTTTATTTTTCTAACGCGAAAAAGGAACAAAAAGGTGGGGGGGGGAAAAGATGGAGAGAGAGAGGTATGTCAAAGCACTGGTCATACAGGTTTGGTGACAATTTGTTGGTGAGTTGCAGGTTGCTATTGGTTAATGCATGTGAAATTGGCCGCTTCCTTTCAATTAAATCCCAAAGTCTCGTGAAAAAAAGGAAAATATTCTGTGTAGCCTGAAATGTGGTCATAAACATCATACCAATATTTTAATAATAGCTTGCAGAATCATTCTCATCCCCGTATCTGATTTTGTTGTCTGAGTTGTATATGTTAAGCTACATGATATTGCTCGATGGATTGCGTGTAATCAGACTAACCATATATATCATTAAAAAAAGAAAAAGTATCAGAAGATTCTGAAGTGTAGAATTTGAATGTCATTGATATTATTTGGCAAGTATACTCCGTAATACAAGCAAGCCATGCGTCGGAAACTTGAGCGGGGTGGCAAAACCAGTTCTCAGGGAAACTAGGCATGACTTCTTGTATTAGGGAGGACACTGAATTTATGGGATAAATACAGTGATGAAAATACTAGCTGACTAGCTCTGAAAAATAAAGAAGACATCTTTATTTTGGGGGACCCAAACATGAAACCCAATATCTGGGCAAAATTTTCTAAACTTTTCAGCCTTGTCGTCGTTGATTAGGAGTTGATCTTGCTTGGATCATTTGTCATGTTCGTTATTTCTGGTCCTCTTTTTTCCACATCCGCCATTATTTCTGAGCCTATGCTTGGATCATTTGTCATCTTCATTTCCAATTCTCCTTTTTCCAAATCCACCATTTCTGAGCCTTCCTTTTCTACCGCCACATCTCCCTTTTCCAGGTTCAGACCGTTTGGTTCTTCTGTAACTTTTCTTTTCCAGTACTTGCAGTGTAGTACAAGCTGCAGAATGGCCAAGGGAACACCAACCACGCTTGGTCCCTGTCAAAGTTGGGAAATTTGAATGTCAAATCAATATGCTCAATCTTCTTCCGAGTTTGATGAAATCATGAGCAGTAGTAAAAAGAGGCTGGAATACGAACCGCAACGAATATATCACGGATCAGAAGTCCGTAGGTCAACCAGAGGACGCCAGCCAGGAATGAGCACAACGATATTGGCAATGGCATGAATTCCACGCTCTTCGTTTGTATAACTTTCTTCTGCAAAATGAAACCGAAATTTTGTGTTATGAACTCTCCCCTGTTTCTGCCTTCGTTAAACAACATAATAATCTTATTGCAGTGACTATGGAGTATGGACTTACCATGACAACCAGAGGAGAAGCATACATTGCGACTGAAACACAAAGGCCAATGCTACCCACAAGAAGCTTTCGGTGTCGACTATCATGGAAGGCAAAGGTTGAGACGATAACGATGATACAAAACACTGCGATAACTGGTATCGCCGTCAAGGCCACCTTCACCTGCAATGTTCACGGGATCAGAAACCATATTTTTAGACCGACTTTGTGACTGTGGGCTAGTAAATATAGCAAGCTAATATCTCTGCAATATATTTTTGGTAAGTCTTGTATTGTCTTCTTATGCATGCAAGTTATCTGTTTGTGGCCATAGCAAATACTGACTTGCTTAACGAAATCTGTGCGTTTTCGTTTGCACGGACAAACAAAGGAAGAACTAAGGCTGCAGAAGGGAGTTGAGCTGGTAAGTTATTATTACCTTTCCTTTTGCGGAAGCATACCAGAAGTAGATGAGAACGTAAGATAACTCAAGAACAATCCCGAAGCCATTGACTGTGACCAGAGGGAAATTTTCCCATCCGTAGCTCACAACAGGCAAGCCATACCAAGTGAAAAGGAGACAGTTCAGGAGTCCGACGATGTAAGGAAGACATGAAAACTCCTCTGTGCTTTTCTTCCTTATGACCCTTTTGAAAGTAACCCTGCAGAAAGAAACCGTGACAAGCTTTCTCAGTATATGGTTTTGATTTACTCGTCTACAGAATCGAGAAGACAGGCAGCTATATATGCAGCAGGAGTACTAATTGAAAGGAAAGTTTTTGACATACGTTGGAGCAGCATAAAGGGCTACTGAAGCAGCGTTCCCTGCAAAAAAAGAGGGACGAAGAAAGAGAAAACGAATCACTTTTCTGTTGAAGACTCGCACATCAATGAGTAATGCAGTATAATGATTAGATACTACTGCTAAGAAATGAACGAAGTAGTACCAAGAACTGCAACGGCCATGCGAAAACTCTCTGCCATCTTTAGTTCTTTGATAGGTAATAAGAGGAGATATGAAGGAAGAATGAGTATGGTACGAAGAAGGGCTCGGAGGCTGCCGTATTTATAGCTCCTCGAGGGCCCTGCTGAGCGCCTAGTGGCAAACTTAATAATGTTAATCTTTGAATAAAAAAAATGAAATAACCTGAAAATAGAATATTTTATCGAAAGAAGGAGGAAGTGCTGTCTCCGTCTTTCATAATAAAATTGTGGACGCGAAACTTTGTTCAATTAGCTTGCTCAACACACAAGAGGCTACTATACCTAGAATATCTTTATTAATTTTCGTTTTCGTTTTCGTTTTTGTTTTCAGTCTAGGAGGATAACGATATAGTACAGGCACAGAATGCGTGTAAATGGTACAACAAGGCACCAGAACGGCACCATCCCTTTTTGACAAAAAATCACACGACTGATGTAAAATTTTGAGAGCCGGTTTGCTTTGGGTTTTCTGGGATACAATTTGTTAAGTGGCTTCTGCTTTTTCTGATGACATAGCATTAAAGACCCCAATAATGAGTTAAAAAATTTTACTAAATGAAGTGCCTTGTTATTGGTGATGTGGCCTCCATTTTCTAGGGATATGGGACTGTGCCCATTTGGCTGCCAGCAGAGTGATGAGTTCATTATATAACTGGTGGAATTAACATCTAGACTTGTTCGCTTGTGTTCATAAAGGAAAAATGTCCTTATTCAAGTTAATGCTTGCAGATTTTGATTGCACGGTAGAAATTAAAAGGTTAAAACTAAAGGTTATTATGGCTAATATATGATCTTTCATCATTATTATGTCCATTTTTTCATTTACATTCTCATTCTGTTTTACACTTTACATGGGGTTTTCAACCTCTTTTCCCCCATCTTTTTTCTAACAACCACCCCTAGTAACAAAGCGAAGAAAGTGATGAAGTAAAGTGAAATGCTTTGAGGGTACAGTTTTGAATTCTTGCACGTCAATGGGTTGTGCCATGGCGTCTTATTATATTATTACCTGTAGCTTTCTTTTGACAGCAAACAAGTATCTGTATCAGATTAACCGCCAAGGCTTGCTAATTAGCTAAACCAACTCCGGGTGGGGACACAAAAGTGGAAAAAAAACACTATGCCATTTATTATCTAATAAGACATTAATATTATGATTAGGAATTTGAATGATAAGAAGAAAATCTGCTTCTCTGGTTTCACTGCTCTTAATTTAGCAACAGAAATCACCAGAATTATCGTAATCCAGTTAAAGCACAAGAGGGGGGGTTATTTTTGTTGATGGTGACATCAAAGACAGAATCATGGAGAAGTAATCAATAGGCTAAACAGGTAAAGAGTGTTTCTAGCTAGTTGAACAGAGTTCCTAGTAAATTCAATGTAAATTAATATACAAGATCTTGAAAAGAGATTGTGTGATCTTAAATACTTAATCCGTCTCTGACACCTGATCAACATATAACAGTCCGGAAATTCAAAATCCTCGACCCAGAACAGAACCCAGCAATGGGAGACTTATGATGCCTTTTGGTTTTTGCTTTTGGTTCTTTGATACCATTCAAGTGGGCAAAAGGAATCTCATTTGTTGACTCGGTACACAGCTGTACCCGCTCCTTCCTACGAAATTTCACCTGCACTAAGCCGGAGAGGATCAATAATTTTCACCCACAACTGGCCGGAGGGGGTCAAATTTACAGCCTTACTTTTCTGACTACATAAATATACGCATACATGCGACAAACGCGAAGTTATCCGATCCTCAGATATTTCTGGTTTAATTTTGCATGAAAAATTATATCCACTTGGTGAATCAGGATGATCTTAGACCGTTCAATTGAGTAAAGCGTGTATAGCTAGCTAGCTTATATGCATATTCGAATAGGTCTAGCTGGTTCTGTGGATGGATCAGTGGCTACACGTAAAGTGACATTGATATATCATTAATGAGTTAAATATACATGAAGGGAACATATTCTTAAACACATAAAAGAAACATTACAAACCCCTTCTGCTTTGATTTATGAAAAAGCGCATATAATATCCCCATTTGATGTTGATACTTAGGTGCAGCCTTTGTTTTGTGTTTTTGCACACGCTTCTGCTAGAATGATTTTATGTTATCAGAATCTGATTTTCCGCATGAGAACAAGATTATGGTACTATGATTTTTTTAAAATATCTATAATCATGCATCGATCGATGCTTGTAAAAAGTAGATATTTTAATATATCAAACACATGAAACAATATAACAATATCTGTGGTTTATGTTTATAAACATGTAGCCATATGTACCCCTTTACACTTGCCCTTGCTTTAAGTTTGATAAAAAAAAGAAAATTACATTTCCGGAGTTTCAATGTGAAATTATGAATAATAAAATGTATACTTTTTTGGATTTTCTAGAGACTAATATGCAAGAATACCATAACGCGAATGAATTCCGTAAATATGTGTTGATTACCGTGTTATGCTTTGATTTTGGGAGGAATTTACCTTTTGATCCTATGACTGCCTATATTTAATGGATAGATCATCCTCAGGGTTTATTTAATTGAAGTCTAATTCTAGAAGAAACCGAGGACCGGCTTACAAAGAGACGAAATAATTAAACAAATAAATATCTGGCTATAGAGATGGTGAAAATATCTTGTCTTTTTCGAGTTGCCACGTCAGACCTTCTTTTCCCTGTGCATATTCCCCCCGAAATTCCACGTCATAATATGACGAACGGCACTAGGCTGTGGACCAAAGCGTGTGGTGAAAAAGTTGACTTTGCATAGGACCCCATCGTTTTTAATGCATTTAAGACTAAGGATTTGGCCACCATAATGAAGATGAATCAGAAGCCACTGTGCCCTCCCAAACTAATGAAGGGGTCAATAATTTGGAGCCGCGCGCACACACATATTCAGAAATATGACAACACAAGTAAGCGTGCTACCAAACGCAGGGCCATTAGCAACAGTTTTGCTGGGGATTAATGCCAATATGATAGTATACTCATAAAAATATCTCTTCTAATTTTGGACGACATACATTGAGTATTGTACTCATGTCTTTTAAATGGTTTAAATTTCATTTGGATGATTTTTTTTAATTTTTAATTTCTTAATTAAAAATTTGTTATTTATTAATTCTATTTCAAGTACTATTAGGTACTAAACATAAATGTATCTTCAAGCAAGAATTTAAATATTGGTTTATCATATTAGAAAATATTAGCTTTTCTATAAAAGATTAGCCCTTCGACTAGACTTAATCCCCTAGGCCACAAAAAAAAAAACTAGAGTTGATAAATATTTGTTATCTTTTGTGTTTGTTTTGCTAAGCATAAGTATATTGTAGTTAGAGGTAATCCTATTTGAAGCATTGTCAGGATTAAATGTGAGCGCTAAATATTTGCTATCTTTAAGTTCATCATCATCCAAATATTTTTCCCTTGAGCCCTACTTCTTTCAACATAAGAGAAATAAAAAATTTTATGAGTAAAAAATCAAAGGAAAATTTTGCCCCGTAGATTCTCAAAGAAGCTAGGAATACTCTAAAAAATTTGTACAGCAATGTAATACATAAGCTTTTAAAATCAATGCAGTGTTATTTTTTTAAACAATCAGTGTTAAATTAACTCTTAATGTGAGTGAAAAGACCTTTTGAAATCAACACTTACTTCACGTTAAAAATTATATGCTATGTTGTTTCATAGTTTTTCCTTTTAGCACACTCGACTTTCTGGGGTAAAAGTGTGCTTTAACAAGACATTGCATGCATGAGCAAAGTCGTCCTCTCTCACTAAACAAGCATCCTACCCAGTATGATTTCAACCTCTTCAAATAGTTCCAATGATCGCCTGAAAAATTAGGCCAGGTTCGGGTTATGGTGCTATTTATGATTTTGTTATATGCAGCAATATCCAAATATCTGATAATTTTGTTCCTCACAGAAAACGTGAGTTTAATTCCACCGAAATCTTATGGAGGGGTCAAGCTCTCGCTGATCAACTACTTTCAAAATGAGTGACAGGACGCCCCATGAAGGCAGGTATTGGGATAAATAGTTCCAAGAATTGTGTCAACACAGTTTGGCGATGAAAATTATTCCCTTCCATCGATCCTATGTATTATATCTAGTCGTCAATAAAACTAGAAAACTAATTTAAAGCTATTAAAAAGTTAAGTAAGTTGGTTTATGAGTATATTACTTTTTCTAAAATATCATTTTCAATCGTAAGCATCTGAATTATCTTTTTGTAAGAATCTTTTAATATGTAAACAAAGTAAATTAAGATCTAATATTTACAATCAAATTTAACCCTCTAACCGTTTTAACACTTAGACTAGAAAATATTATAAAGACATAAGTTTTGGGAACGACACATCCTATTTATGATAAGACTGACTTAAAGGGTGTTTGAAATTTTAGCCAATTTTTCTCCATTAATGATACACCACTACATTAATTATTCACTTCCTCTATATTTCTTCACAAATAAGGATATTTAAAAAAAATAAGTGTTTATGTAATTATTATCTTTGACAAGTTTTAGCCAGCTTTCTAGTTTATAATCTACATAATTTGATTATTTGTATCTTATACATTCAAATGATATTTATAAGACAAAAAGAGAATTTTTTTTGTTTATTAAATTTTTAACATGAGTGTATTATATTGAAGGGGAATAAAATTGTAAAATTATTAAATTTTAATGCAGAGTTAATAAGATTTAAATTTTTATTATTTTTCATAAAATAATTAAAAATAATTTATAAATAAGACTAAAAAATAAGTAAGTCGAGAGAGATACCAAATAGAGCTGGTTTAATTAATTGATTAATAATAGAACCTAAAAAAAGAAAAAATAGAGCCTAAGTGGGTTGTGAAAACAAGGGATGAGACAACACCTAAATATCATTGGAAAAAAATAAAATACTGAATTATCGGCAGGGACACACGGCCTTGTACTTTTGTTCTGTTTTGGAAAACACAGAGCTGGCAGGCATTATATCTCTCAATTGAGTGGCTCCCATTC